CAGCACTTACCCTAAAAGTCTGTTAAGGGTATACCGGAGATCTTTGTCTTTTGCACGAGCATATTATGTGTTCTCGTCATCATATCATCAACTTATGTCTTGATATAACACGTTGCCCGTCATGCAGCGGCACGGCTCGGCTTGTGCAGTTGAAAAACAACCCGTGCTTTTAAAGCCAAGCCAGTTTGGCTCGGTTCAGCCCGGGCACGGCTCGGTTGGGAAGTGCAAAAGGGGTTGTGTATGTGGTCCATGCTTTAGCTCACACGGAGTATGTGCAAGCAGTGCCGATGTCATCTTAGCACTGAAGGAATTCTCGGATTTCTATTATGTTCTGCTGTTAAATTAATCTTGTTGCCTACCTATTCGAATGACTTTCTGTCGTTGCACGCTTTTCTTTTGGCTGTTGGATTTCCCCTGTAGCCAAGAGAACGCACTTAAATGTTTGCATAACAGTTACATCGTGCCGTAACGCAGATTTACAACTTCAGTAATAGCTTATGTGGGGGAAAAAAACAAATCTTTAGTTTGTGGCATTCTTGGACATTGTTTTGGTGTGTTGTGCATGGACATCCTGGCTACTGCTGCCGTTGCTCGTACCCTCATGAATACATGCAGACCACGGCGTGTACATAAATTAAAGTGTTTTCGTCTGTGCAATATAAATAAATCTCACTTGTCTCGAGCTAGGAAATGCGCTTAGTCGTGAATAATGATAATGATCGGCTCACTGATTCGTGCTCATGTAATTCTCTCCTTTGTGGTGTGGTGGTGGGTTGCAAACAATACAGATGAAGTATGTTCCGTCGTGCAGCACCGTTGTATGTATTCTAGGACAGGTACGTTGAGTCGAATAATTAACAAAAAATTATAATCTACTGTGAACCCAGCGTGACCTGGCTGATGATGCTGGCCATGTCACCAAGCTCTGCCCCATCACCTCCAGTCCAGTGGCACTTGTGGGAACAGAGCTGAGACATGTTTTACTCCCAACTATTTTCGTGTCATTAATTTTGTTCAGTATCAAAACCAAAGATCGACAGAGGCGTCGATTCGACATATAACTTGAGAGCCCAGCTCTGGTACATATTGCACGAGTCGTGATGCCAGCTGTATGTTGATCGAGCAGATGTGAACTACTTTCTTGACTTCACGCTTGCGCAGAGGGTTATTTGGCTGCGCTTCATGCTGGTGGAGTGGCAGCTTATTGAAAGCAGGAGCATATACGTGGGGACTTAATGAAGTACAGCACAACGATAGGTTTTGCTGCACCACTCACCACATAGCGCCACAGCAGCCTAAGACGACCTGTGTGCGTGTGGGAATGGTGGTCGCCCATCCAAGCACTGTCCAGCCTCAAATCTGCTCGGCTTCCAAAATGTGACGAGATCGGGTGCATACCAGGTGATTTGGTCACAGACGACCTTGCTTAACGAGTGGTCTCAGACCACTCGTTAAGCAACTGCCCATCGCTCAGATCATTTGCTCGGCAGCAGAGTTTCAGAGATCCACCGGGCCGCTCCTGAAGCCGTCCACTGACTCACTCGCTGAGCTGTATTGGCTTCCGGTTGCTGAATGAATACATTATAAGGTCGCACTAATTACACACAAAATGCTTGCCACAAATTCACCACAATACCTTGCTGATCTCGTCAAAGAACATCACCTAGCTATCAAGTGAAACCCGGCCTTTGGCTAGCCTTACCTTATTTTAACGGAATTGATATATCGCCTTAATGAAGGCGCTTTACAAATACTTAACAACGGTCCATATCAATCTAATGGTGGATATGAGGTGAATGAAATAGATGAGAGGAAGTAATGGGCAAATCTGTGATGCATGAATTCGGTGAAACTTAAATTGATGACAATTTTATGATAACGAATGAACAAAGATGGTCACCGCATCGCACGCTTTTAGATGTGTTTCTACGGCCGTCTTTAACGCTCTTCCGATGTTAGGAAGCCACTGGAGCTATGCATTTCTAAATCTAGATTGAAAACTGATTTCTTTAAAACTTATTTTCGTGTTTAGTTTGTTGTCCTTCCCCCGCACCTCCGATTCGCACGGTTGGCTATGTACGGTGCGAAAGAAGTTCAAAATATATACATACTAACACTGCTGATCAACACACCGCCATACGAAAGAGGAATTACTGCTACATCTGTTGCATTGGATGGTATGGCGTGGCGGTGCAGATGTGTTTTTATCCGTGAACATAAACGTTTTGGGCTGCTTCTTATTACCTTGTTTCTGCTTTATGAGACCTCCTTTGCCAGTAACAAGATATAGTAATAGGTTTTACCCTTTTAACTCTGATAGTGTGCTGATCAGAGTACTCTGATAGTGCGCTGTTTTTGAGTTGTACGCCTTTTGGCGTCTTCTGGTCCAACACCAGTGGAGACAAGGCTCTAAAGAAAGCCGTCTCGGGTGTGGACCAATCCAATTCAAGGACAGTGCCAATATCATTATCAGAGTTGTCTTTTTGTTTGCATTTTGACTGCTTGTGTTGTGGTTATTGCAGACATGATGCCTTGAATAAAGGTGTCAGTTTTTTGTGCCAGTTACAAGGGTAAAACCTATTACTATAACTTGTTTCTGCTTTTCATATATTTTTTTTATGGACAGCTGTGCTGCCTGCCCTTTTCATGTTTTGTTCTCTGCTAGGAAATGCAATAGAACCCTTTTATGAATTATTTAATAGAGTTTTTAAAATATATATTTTATTTTTGCTGCTACTGGCTCTAGACATTTGGGAGAGGTTCAGAGCAACACATCCACTCAAAATGTAATTCCATTTTCTAATGCTCACTGCTCATTGAATCATAAATAATCAACATATATAGAATAATCATGGCATTAGAAATTTAAATTGTGAACGAGCAAATTAGGTCACAGATTTTTGTTAAATTTACATAGTTTTTACTGGACTGGAAAACTATGTACATTTTCCGAAAATAATTGTCATACCCTTTTCTAATCCACTTCTGTATGAAGGCCTCCCTATGCTGTGTCGATCCTGGGATTTGCGTGACCATACTTCACCATGCTGGTCTGTGTGGTTGGGTGAATGAAGAGGACAACCCTTGACTGATTTAGATATTCCATGCCACTGATGATGGCCGTGGCTAGGTTTTGAACTCAGGTCACCAGGTTTATAGTGGAGCGCACACTAAACACTTCTGCCATTACTCATTGGTTTTTTCGGTAAAGTCACATATGTAGAAATACCATAAAATTATATTAACATAAATCAATCACGACGTTTCGACCGCAACACAAGCGATTTTTAACATAATTTTATGGTATTTCGACATACGTGACTTTACCGAAAAAACCAATGAGTAATTTATGCAGTCACGAAAGCTTTAATTCTTTACTTCAGCCATTGCTCTCCTAAAACACATCTTGAATACTCCACCGTAAGGATGCCTTTTATGTTTATTCATATACATTTAAGACTATATATTGTCGAATAGTTGAGTTTTAAAAAAATATCATTTTATTTAGATCCTCCCTCACATCATACATTGCAACATCCTAACATTCTCGATGGTATTACCAGGGGCATCAACGTTATCAGGCACACCAGACTCATCAGAGCAGGATGGGGGGAGGAGGAAGGGATTTTTCTTTGGGGTGGAGGTGGAGGGAGGGGGGTTGGCCAGGTCATTGCCATTATGGGCTCAGGTATTTAAGACTGTTCTAAGGTTTTGGAATGGACCCCATGTACATGTGCATTCTTCTTCTTTGTCTCTGAGCTTATAGCTTAGATGCTCCAGTGCTGTGATTGGGCCTAATGAATACAGCCATTGAGTGTAGGAAGGGGGGGGGGAGAGGTTCGTGATTCTTCCACGCACTCAGTATGGTTTTCCTGTTTAACACGTAACCCCAAAAAATTCTTATGGATGGTTTTCCTGGCTGCTATATCGAATATCTTGAGTTTTAAGTCCATGTTTCGGTCACTTGTAACGACCGCACAAAAAAATCCCATCACATTCAATGAGATTTTTCACTTAAATTGGAAAGACTAACTGGGAGAATTTAATATTTGGCTTTGACTGCCTTGCATAAATGTACTGTCTAGAAGCAGGGCATGTTGGGAGCTGCAGCTCCCCTAGTGTGGATAAAAGGAAATTGAGCAATTCTTAGCAGTAGTTCTGCCATATCAAAATCATCGGGCCATTCTCTAGCAAGCTGGTTACAGTCGTTCCGATTGGACATTTCTTGGGTGTTACAACATGCCGTTGATAGCGCAGTTGGAATATAATTTGGATAAAGACAAAAAAGTTAAAATTAAATCCTGATCAATGTTGGTGATTCTTAATGTCACATTCAACATGTTAGTTCCAAAAAGGAAAGAGTCAAAATTATACAAAATATCATTTTGACATCTCTCCAAAAGCATATTTGGAATATTGTTATACATTATTGAGAGAAAAAACCCAAAATAAATTTGCTCAGTATCTTGGCGGTTCACAACTTCACATTCAAAGTGTTACGTCCAAAAAATTAAAAAAGAAACATTTATGCACTTGTTATTTGAAAGTCTGCGATACAATTTGCTGATTCTCTCATGTGGCCAGCTCTTTACAAATGTTATCGGAGTGTCTGGTGGAAGTGGCAATCGTGTGCCGATAACACCACCTTGGGACATGAACAAACCACCAGCCATCATCCACTCTAGCGACAGGTCCTGCCCGTTCCACTTTTATTAATAGTTAATATTATATCTCTACCGTGTGACGGTTCTCCGATCCCTGTGTCCATTTTTCTGTCTCTTAAGTGTAATTCCAAGCGTGCTGTTTTAACACTCAATATGATATGATGTCTCTAACTTGTATATTTGTTTTACATTGCTTCATTTGGCATCTGTTTAAATTAAGCCTTGTACTTGTTCCTTGGCAAGACTCTCATGAATGAGTCTTGAGACTCAGGTATTCTTGAGTAAACAAGCATAATTATAATAATATAATCATAATACATCCACTGTCTTTCACAGTTTGTGCCGAGGCCTACAACCCAGACGATGAAGAGGAGGACACGGAGCCGAAGGTACGGAGCATCGACACGGCGCACGTGCTCTAGATGCACGCGCTGTAGACGCACAGTGTCTGTGGGGCGCGCACCCGTGGTGATCCAGAACTGTGGAGGCAGGGGTTGGTGGATCACGCAGAGATTTGTGAAAACTCCCAAACACTGGCTGACTGATGGTTCTGTGAATTGTCACAATTCAGGGACCTGAATCGACTCAAGAGTTGATTCTTGTTTTTGACGTTTAGTTGAAAAGTCACGCGCCTCCAGAGGCTGCACGGATGACGTGACCCCTTTCCATTGAATCTATGAGGATAAAAAGAAAACACGCACTCAGACTCTTGCACACACGATTTGCTACATGCAGTGGTGAGAATGCGGCGGTATACGACTGTACGTCATTGCGGCATTTCTCAGAATACCAGCCCACGTGCGTCCCACCGGCACTGTTCAGGATTACTCTGATGCCTGTGCTGCAATGCCTTCGCAGAGGGGAAACAGCAGTGACCGTGGGTTGCAGAAGGACGAATAGGTTTCGAGCACTGTTTGTGTCGTGAAATTAAGAATCAATATTAACGAATCGATGCATTGTTATACCTCTAACAAAAATGGAACACTCTCATCTGTGTCCACGAGACAGTCTTTACCTGAAGTTCACTATTACCTTAAGTGACAGGACAGAGGATTCACTGGAGTTTTACGATAATATATTTGCCATTAAAAGTGATCTGTGAATTCATGCCCGTGCTGAATCCAAAATTATTGAGGCAATTAAAACTCCTCGTACATAAAAAAGCACAATTGATTAATGTGGAATTCGGCTGCTATGTGTATTTATTTTAAACAAGTGCTTACGTCTGCTCCAACTTTTATATGTAACCAAGATTCCAGTGCTGAATGGCAGACTTGTGAACGTCATTGTTTTTAAAACTGGCTCTGGTATTTATTGATTTTGCTGTGTGGTCCAAGGCTGATGCAAAATCACTTCTAAAAATAATTCCCTGTCTGGCGCCTATCTGCTTCATGCCACGTCGGATAGACGGAGCACATTCCTCATAAAGCAGACTCCATTTGAGCAAGTGAAAAAAATTGCTCTTGTACAATAATTGAATGCTGAGCATGGCATATGTGTGAGTATATAAGAGTGGTAGCGCAGTGGTTAGTGTGCTGCCACTGTGAACGCGCCTATCCGATTAAATTCCTGGCCACAGCTGCCGTTACTGGTGGGTGGTATCTGAACAGGTCCTCCCCCCTTCATCAACAGCACTGAAGTACAGTCAAACAACCCCCATAACTGACACAACATGGGGAGGCCTTCATCCAGCAGTAAATTGACAAAGCGCTGAAAATTAGGGCACAGTAGTGGTGCAATAGTTACCCATACGGCTATGGTCTGAGTTTGATTCCTGGCTATGGCTAACATTCGGGGTGAGTGATACGTGAAGCACTTTTATTAACCTGCACTGACCAGCATGGTGAAGTATGATTCAGTTACCCCACAGAGAAGCAGTGTGGGGAGGCCTTTATCCACCAGTGGATTAATGAAGGGCTGTACATTATTATTACTTTTTAATTTATTTACATTTAATCCTGCCTGGTTTCCACCATACCAAAGTGAAAGTGCATGCTCTTTACAATTACGTTCAGTGCCGCTGTGTTGTAATGAGATGTTGCTGATATGCATTTAATTTTCTAAATCAATATCAAATCACGGATATTGATTGCCATTTCCCCACCGGTCTGAGAGTATAATTTACACGCCTACAAATCTCTGAATTTTCATCTCGTGCTGCCAAAGATTGCTCGCTCTTGTCTTCTGCCCTTGAACACTCCTAAAAAAAGAATACCCCAAAAAGAGATGAAGGGGGTTGCTCAAGCAGTTATTCATAATGGCCGTAGTGTCGCACGCTGAGACTCTACGGGACGCTGAGACTCTACGGGACGCTGAGACTCTACGGGACGCTGAGACAGGAATCTCAATTAATTGGAATTTTTATTTATCAGTGTTATCACCCACATTGGTTGCATTACTTACAGAACTGGGGACTAAATTTTTTTTTCATTATATGGTTATTGTACATTTGGAATGTAATTAAGGAAGAAGAAAAACATTTTTTATTCATTTGCCATTAATATTTCAATGCCACTTTGGGATTGTAGCTCCTCACTTCCCCTTGGTGGACCCTGCTCACCAGGTTCTCTGAGCTGGAGAACCTCCTGGGTGGGGGGGTGGGCCAAGGGAGTGGCCACGGCCTCGTGGCTGCGTCAGATCGACCGCTATCTTCGAGACTCGGGGATAGGAAGGGAGCTCGCTCGGGGCCTTTGCCAGGAGGGACCCCTAGGAAGGGGGTTCACTTGAGGCTATTCTAGGAGAGACTCCTAGGAAGGGGGCTCACTTGGGGGAGCATTCCCAGGAGGGACCCCTAGGAAGGAGGCTCGATTGGGGGCTTGTTGCTATGCACAGGCTCGGCATATGCTCCCACACATTATGTCATTGAAGTTTATGAATAAATACAAAAAATAACTGCAACTTACAGTTGCCCGAATAGGAAGCGAGCTACTTAACTTTAACTCCTGCTGCCTGTCAGCTGCACGCTGCCGGCAACGTCCGCACGCCCGTCGCTTGTAAATCGACCGCCGAGTTGTCCCGAATGGATCGCTTTGACGCGGCTTGTGCTCCAGCGAGTGACTGATGGAAATCGACTTGCAAACGCATCGGCGGCAGGCCCTCCTCGTTAATTACGAGCGGCGGCGCGTCGGTCTGCGCCCTTATGGCCCAATCGGCGCGGACGATCAGTGGCATGCGGCCGCTCGTAATCGCTTTGACGCTGACGACTGAGCGGACAGCCGCTAAGCAATGTTGCGAACGTTCGGTCGCTGTGATTTATTGTACGGCGTGACCATTGATTGATACTTGGCTATGTACTTATATACTTAATTTTTTGCTTATTTATTTCTGGTGACTTGCTTACCCCTTTTCTTTATTTTGCACTGCTTTCGTTTGTTTGTATTGTTTGTTGTTGCAACTTGCTGACCCTCGCCCCTACTGGACGTTTGTGAAAAAGAGCTTCATAGCTCATCGGATTCCTCCAGGATAAATCAATATTCTGATGTGCTTAAATAGTTTGTATTTTCAGATTTTTGTATTTTTAAAGATATTTTTGTTTTACAATTATTGGATTAAAATTATTAAACGTTCGTAGTTTTCATTGTTTAGCTATTAAAGTGGAACATATTTTTTTATTAATGGAATTTAAATGAGATCAAACATTCCATTTATTTTTTTGTTATTTTAATTGTTAACGTTTCACATTTTTAAATGATCTAAATCCCAATCATTTCAGATGTTCATAATTCAACTGTTATCCTCGTAAAACTTAATTTTCAATTCAAACATTTGCTGTATTTCATTTATTTAAAACTACAGTTATTGTATTTGTTACATTTTAACCATCTTTGAAAATATTTTTTACAGTTGAAAATTTATTTTCAATAAAAACATAATGTTATCATTATTAGAGTCACGCTATTATATCTCACCAAGTCGCAGGAGGATCCTGTTTTAGATATTTAATCAGTGCCACGTTTAAATGAAGAGGATTTGGCTTCGAGTTTGAAGAAACTTAAGAACGTGGAAAAAAACCCACCTGGCAAACATGGAGAAGAACACTTCGCAGTCCGCTTACGAGCCCTCTCTACTTTCTCTACTGCCCTTTTCTGACTACCGCTTCGCAAGCCAGCCCGCCTGGGAGATTCACAAATCCCTGTGATCCAACAACCCTTGCCTCCCAAGCGCTTGGATCGTTTGCGTACGATTTCAAGAAACCGGCCGCCAACGTTGCCACGGGCGGTGATGTGAAGCTCTCGTGCTCGTGCCTTTGTTCATCCATTAGTTGCGCAGCATTCCTGAAGGGGACCCCTTGCTCGTTCTCGGCGATGTCAGCGTTTTTGTCTTCATTCCGTTGTTGCTGTGCTCACATGCCATGGACCTCCCTTGTAAAATAACCGGGCAACTGGCTAAACAGGACCACCCGTGTAACAAATAACAAACTGAAACACTCATACACACTAACAAAACAGGGCAAAGATCTCCCGCGTAGCCTTTAACAGAATGTTGAAGGTATTGTTCGTGAGCCTGCAACACACCCAGCAGCCTTTATCTCGCCAGTGGTGATTTATGCAGACTGCGCCAGGTACTAATTTAAGGCTGAGTCGATCTAGGGGAGGCCCAGAGCCGGAACAGATAGCACTCACACTCTGTCTCACATACACACACACACATTCCAATATGTAAGCAATAGTGACGTCACAGTGAAGTAATTTCCACTTCTATATGTAAATGTATCCTAATGCTGTCACATCATATATTATCAGATAATTAATCCATCTCTCGTGGCCAATCTAGCCACAAGGTCGCTGGGACTCTGTTGGCAGCTCTGCTCATTATCTACCTCCACCTTTCCCACTCCTCAACCTTACGGTTCTGCTGGTAGTAGGTTTATTACGTCCAATCCAGGAAACAAATATATATGTTATCCGATGATTTTCGATTTCGTATTGATGCCGATGTTTGATTTTTTCTGATAAATTTGAAAGTCGGGAGCATGTCCCTGATTGAATAGGAGTCTACCACCGAGCTTCATGCGCATACAGTGAGGAAAGAAAGTATTTGATCCCCTGCTGATTTTGTACGTTTGCCCACTGACAAAGAAATGATCAGTCTATAATTTCAATGGTAGGTTTATTTGAACAGTGAGAGACAGAATAACAACAAAAAAATCCAGAAAAACGCATGTCAAAAATGTTATGAATTGATTTGCATTTTAATGAGGGAAATAAGTATTTGACCCCTCTGCAAAACATGACTTAGTACTTGGTGGCAAACCCCTTGTTGGCAATCATAGAGGTCAGACGTTTCTTGTAATTGGCCACCAGATTTGCACACATCTCAGGAGGGATTTTGTCCCACTCCTCTTTGCAGATCTTCTCCAAGTCATTAAGGTTTTGAGGCTGACGTTTGGCAACTCGAACCTTCAGCTCCCTCCACAGCTTTTCTCTGGGATTAAGGTCTGGAGACTGGCTAGGCCACTCCAGGACCTTAATGTGCTTCTTCTTGAGCCACTCCTTTTTTGCCTTGGCCGTGTGTTTTGGGTCATTGTCATGCTGAAATACCCATCCACGACCCATTTTCAATGCCCTGGCTGAGGGAAGGAGGTTCTCACCCAAGATTTGGCGGTACATGGCCCCGTCCATTGTCCCTTTGATGCGGTGAAGTTGTCCTGTCCCCTTAGCAGAAAAAACCCCCAAAGCATAATGTTTCCACCTCCATGTTTGACGGTGGGGATGGTGTTCTTGGGGTTATAGGCAGCATTCCTCCTCCTCCAAACACGGCGAGTTGAGTTGATGCCAAAGAGCTCCATTTTGGTCTCATCTGACCACAACACTTTCACCCAGCTGTCCTCTGAATCATTCAGATGTTCATTGGCAGGTCCCCCTGCTTTCTTGAGCAGGGGGACCTTGCGGGCGCTGCAGGATTTCAGTCCTTCATGGCGTAGTGTGTTACCAATTGTTTTCTTGGTGACTATGGTCCCAGCTGCCTTGAGATCATTGACAAGATCCTCCTGCGTAGTTCTGGGCTGATTCCTCACCGTTCTCATGATCATTGCAACTCCACGAGGTGAGATCTTGCATGGAGCCCCAGGCCGAGGGAGATTGACAGTTCTTTTGTGTTTCTTCCATTTGCGAATAATCGCACCAACTGTTGTCACCTTCTCACCAAGCTACTTGGCAATGGTCTTGTAGCCCATTCCAGCCTTGTGTAGGTCTACAATCTTGTCATTGACATCTTTGGAGAGCTCTTTGGTCTTGGCCATGGTGGAGAGTTTGGAATCTGATTGATTAATTGCTTCTGTGGACAGGTGCCTTTTTTACAGGTAACAAGCTGAGATTAGGAGCACTCCCTTTAAAAGTGTGCTCCTAATCTCAGCTCGTTGCCTGTATAAAAGACACCTGGGAGCCAGAAATCTTCCTGATTGAGAGGGGGTCAAATACGTATTTCCCTCATTAAAATGCAAATCAATTTATAATTTTTTTACATGCGTTTATCTGTATTTTCTTGTTGTTATTCTGTCTCTCACTGTTCAAATAAACCTACCATTAAAATTATAGACTGATCATTTCTTTGTCAGTGGGCAAACGTACAAAATCAGCAGGGATCAAATACTTTTTTCCCTCACTGTATATGTTCGAGTCGTAGTTGATTGTGTTTAACCAGGTGAGAACACGAGAGACCCATGAGATGGGCGTCTCGTTTGCAAAAGTGGCCTTGGTCACCAAAGTGACAAAAGCAAACCAATGAAATCTGAACAAAAACAAATACCACTGTATGACATGATGAATTGAATATCGACGTGATCTGATGTGGTTGTCCCGTACTGAGCCTCAGTGTATGTCTTTGTTACGTGGAGCGGCAGTGTAGCTGTTAGCGTGCTGCGCAACGACCCCTCCAACCCGGGTTTGATTCCCGCTCACGGCCAACACCGGTGACTGTTATCTAAACCGGTCTGGGGCCCCTCCCTGAGGTCGACTCGGCCTCAAATGAGTGCCTTGTGCAGTGTTTAAATATCGCCACTAGGGAGATAAAGGCGGCCAGGCGTGGTGCTGGCCACACACCCCCTCGTTTGCCGTGCTAGCCTTTATAGGTGCTTGCTAACAGCACTTGCCCCAGCAGTCTGTTACAGGCTACACGGGTGTCTTTGTCTTGGTTTTGACTGCATATTGTCTCCACAGGTGGTCCATCCCAAGACAGATGAACAGAGAAACAGGCTCCAAGAGGCCTGCAAGGACATTCTGCTTTTCAAAAACCTGGACCAGGTAATTTCTAGTCTCCCGTTCGAACAGACATAAAAAATATTTCTGTTTATATTTGAAGTCCTCACTTAACGCGTGTCCACACAATGCATTATCGCAATAACGTGGTTCTTCCATCCATAAGGGAACACTTTTCGTACAGCGCGGAATGCTCCCCTTAAAACACAGAATGTGCCGGTTCTGACGCATAACGTGCACCATTACAACGTGGATTTTGAGCGGTCGACGACGAACTACTTTCCTGAGCTGCGCGGCTGAGTGGTATGGTACAGTACGCGGAGAGATACAGTATGCTAAATGATACAGTAATGCTGCGGTATACCCTCAAGTTCTTTGTCCCGCCACTGCACTGTGTGTGTGTAGTAGGACATCATATCACGCCAAACCTTTATTGTTACGTTACTTGAGGGGGAATTGTTTTTGCTTGACGCGGCAATTTTCAGGAATGCATATACTGCACTAATCGAGAACTCACTGCACATGTAATTTTGGTGTTCGAGCCAGGCCCAATGTAAGTTAATATCCACAGGTCCACAGATTAGGGGCACCACTTTCCCACCTGCCCTGCCACGTGAGCGTAATGTTTGCCACATTGATTCTCAGAGATGGAGTTTAGCCAAATTAAGCACAAAATATAATTAATGTCACGAGTCATTGGTGACCGGGCTGACATCATCCACTCACTCTGGTCACTATACTTGAGAACCCAGTTTAATCAGAACCTGGTCTATATGAGGCTATGGGTCTCTATAGAGGTTTGTGGGTTTCCATACAAGTCTGTCAGTCTCTGTGGAAGTCACTGGTGACTGGTCCAAGACCATCAACTCGCCAACCTTGAGAAACCTGGCTTTAATCACAGGCGACTGCCACCTGGATTTAGACCCAGAATCTCAGTGGTGCCGGCTAAGAGCTCAGACCTTCGAGGCAGCTGTCCACCTTCAACAGATATTGGTGAAGGGGGGGGGCACTTGTCGGCTGTATCAGGGCGGGGTGGGTAAGGGCAGGACTAGTGTCTGACAGAGGTGTGATTTCGTCAAAGGCATTGACCACGATAGCCTCCTTATTAACCCCCTTTAGCCTCTTAACCCCACTGGGACAGTTAATCAAACGATCGAGGCAAACGCAGTTCGCCCCGATCAATCTCATAGCCGCCGTTCTTATTATAGTTTTTCTTCAAACAGGCATGGTCATTAGTATCCATTGCACTTCCCCACCCCCTCCCCCCAACAAACCCCCCTTTCCCGTTCCTATGAAAGCAGCTTTGCATCCGGCTTCAAATGCGCGACACCGGGGATGCTGACGCAAATTCACTGTGGAGATTACCGCAGAGCGATTGGGGGATGGTGTGGAGGGGCACGGGGGGCGACTCCTTGAACCTGCCGCGGCTCTTTTGACATTTGGCTGAAAAGGGCCTTTGCCCTTCCTCCTCGCTTACGAGACTTCATTAGTCCGCCAATCTGCACGAGGCATTGCGCTGGGCTGGCGGAAACGTTCGAATTGGCTCGTGAATTTTTAATAAATGTCACGCTTATTTGAAGTCTGGTAATTAAGTTGCTTTTAGTTAAATATGTCAGGCCTTTCACTGGCAGTGTTAATTATTTAAGACAAAAATGGTGGACGTCATATTTTTGTTATCCCTTCCACCTTCAGTGAAAAGCGTTCTTTGAAAAGTTATTTTTCCCCGCTTGCTACAGTCGTTGGGGGTGGTGCAGTGGTTCGTGCTTTGCCCTATGAACAAAATTAGTCACAAGTGTAGTGGGCATTATTGACGTCGGAGACTGTTCTTTTGAGGCAACACGTATTTATTACAGACGCTTCAATTACAGTGGCGAATCTGATACTTGAAGAGGTAACGGCCTCTTCACCCGTACTCTATAGAGGGAACGCTCCCCGAGCTTTAGCCCACGCTAGCTCCATGGTTCCCTCTATCCTGGTCCTCTCTCAGGAGGCTATCTGACCTGGCCCAGCTTCGGCGCAGGTCCCGATCACCAGCCCCACGAGTCCGGCCCTCAGAAGGACATCGGCCCTTGCGGCTCTGGTGCCGCACCCTGGCTTGCTCTGCCCGGCCCTCAAAAGGACAGCGGGCCAAAGGAGTTCCAGGGTCTGGCTAGTCGATATTCTTTATTCACTGGATCTTCATCTTGCTTCAGTCGAACTGCCTCTCAGCTCCCCGGGTCCCACCTTTTATACTGTCTCTCACTGAGGGGTGGTGCTGGGAGGGATCACAGCATCCCCCACAGCCCCCCAGGGTGGTGGCCGTAGCGGACGTGTTTGTGGCCACCGTTATACAACCGCTTGTCACCCTCCCGTAACACCTCTACACAAGCGAGATCTGGGTTCCTGCACCTGGATTGTCATCTTAATTCACCAAACCCCACCGATCAGCTTTGTGAAGTATGGTCACAAATCCCCATGATGACATGGCATGGGGAGGCAGTGGATTAGCAAAGCACTGTAAATTCAGTCATTTGGAAAAATAAAAAAATTTGTGAAAAAATTATGTGAGATAGCATATCGGAACTTTTGAATGACATACCACAATGTACCCTGCAAGCAATACTTCCTGGGAATATAGCGGGTGTTGCGGGTTTGGGCTACAGAGATGGAAGTACAGAAATTGATTCTTGAATCAATTTGTGCAGAGCTTTGAGCACTATCTCCCCCTTCGTGTCTGCAGTGGCCAAACATCCCAGTGCAGGACCCTCGCAAAGAAGAGGCTTGAGACTTGGTGAGGCTGTCCCAGATCAGGAAATTATATTACTTTTTTTAGCCTTATAATAATTCAAAAAGTATGCAAAGAAGCGCAGAGAGGTGTTTTCTTGGAATTACATTGACAGACAGAAGGAGGAGGAGGAACGTCAACACATGCGATAGAGAACACAAGAAAGTTAAAGACATTGTATCGACTGCTGAGATAAGTTAGTGGGCTTTGATTCTTTAGATAAGGAAGCGGGCTTCAGTCAGGAAACTTGGGTTGAAGGGTTGATGACTTTTGGGCAATCATAACAATGGAGTGGCAGCCAAGGGAGGGAATCGTGCCCTAGAGGATAACTGCCGTGGAAATGAAACTATTAAATCTGCTCGTGTGCTGAAGCTCGATGGATTGTCGCAACGGCTTGCGGTGGGGGGGGGGGTTGGGGGAGGCCTTTATCCAGCAGTGGATTAGTCATGGTTGTCGATGTGTTCACTTGACCAATTAACATTTCTCGATTGTTACTTGTGCAACATTTGTTAAGAGCCTTGCCATCGTTTGCAATATTAACATGTTTTTGTTTGTGTTGCTACTGCTGTGCTCATGCACCAGCACGGATTTCAATTGTAAAATAGCCAGACATCTTGCTAAACGAGAACACCTGTGTAACAAATAAAATAAAATTCAGTCACCCGCACGTGTAACAATTACTCCCATCCATCCCCACGCAGCCAACTTCAGTGAATAAAAATAACTTGTAATAAAAAAATCGATTGTTCTTACATATGGTTTCATTATGTTCTCGAGATACTCGCATTTCGCCCAGGAGAGTCCCTCAATGTTAAGTTGGAGGAAACTTGTCCCAGGGCCTATCTGGTGTGTTGTTTGTCCCAGAACAGGGCCATTGGGCGTGGCTAGTGTTGGTGTTGCTCTGGAGACTGTGAGGTCAATGATCGATGTTAGGTTGCCGCGTTGATAGCGTTTGTCGTGATTTCTCACTTAACAGAGTGGGCTGCCATCTTCTACTCCCGATGATAGCGTGTAACTAACTACGGGGAGAGTGCTCTGATACATTTGTGAGCTCAGAGTCTCACGTGCAACCCGGTCCTAATCGGGCTTTTACTGCAGGCATGTTGGTTGCGCGATACTACTGCGTGATAAAACGTGATACTGCCCAAACAAAGGGTTGTTCAGTGACGGTGCCATTTTAGGACCGATTTGCCATCAAGGGAGCAGTGAATTGAAACCCAGATAGGCAAGTGAGCTGTAAACAGGTTATTTTGCTGTCGACCTAATTAACTTTTAGTTAAAAGGAACATCTTATAAATATGTAAAAGGGAAATTTGTGATTGTGTCTGTTCAAAATGTTTAGCATACTTCCCGACATGCAACAAACTTGAAATTTGGCATGTGGGTAGCTTCCAGGCTGTACACAATGCTAAAAGTGTAAATGGATATATTTTGCATGGCAAGTGAGCGGTGACGTCACATCTGTGATGTCCCCCGCATGCGGCAGCGTCACGCAGTGTGCCTGCTGACGTCACGCATCCCCCCCACCACCCTCCGCGTAGGCCGTGTGTGGTGTATTAATCCAAGACAAGAATACAAGTCTCAGGTGAAGCCAGGTAGTAAAGCTAGTAAATATATAAATACAAGTTACAGTTTGGGCAGTGGCCCTTATTTATAGCAGATGATCGAGGCACATTTCCCGAAACGTCTATTATTATATATATTTCCAAGTAAGATTGCACAGTAAATTTTGACTTAAAACTTTCGTTTTTTTATTATGATTTTTCTATCTACGTAACTTTACCGAAAGAACCAAAGAATAAGATCACACAGTGTTTTGACCAATGCGTAGAAGCATCATCAAAACACATTTTTCTTAAATTAACAAATGCGGCTTACGATGGGAAGTCACAAAGTATCCATGTGCTTCACTGATGACATTGCTCACTTTACAACGGAGGTGGACACTGCCAAATCCTCGTTCTTATCCTGTGTCATTAGCCATGCATTAGCCCATCAGATGCAGCCGCCAATAGTTTTCCTGTGCAAGAAACAAGTTGAATGATGAAGCTCTCGTGGAAAAATGGAGCCTTTAATGATAAAAATTACACTGCTATTTATTTGCCTGAGGAAAGCCTTACCGAGTCTCAAGACTTGTTTTCAGGAGGGTGGTGCTGCTGCTGCTTCTTGCATTGGGATGCTTGGTCAAGTCTATTAATGAGCTTTAGTGAGGCATTTGGGGGGTAAAGTGGAACCCTGTGGAGAAAACCGACCAAGCGTATGAGTTTGCGACGGCACTCAA